CAGTTTCAAATCTAACTGGCGTACCCGCAACGACCCCCCCTCCCCCCCCCCCCCCCCCCCCCCCCCTCCCACCCCGTTCCCTCCCGGGGTTCCGCGGGGGGTCCCGGGGGTCGCTCCTATCCGTTCAACCTTCTTGCAGCTGGATTATGCACACTTCCCACCTGTAACTGATAACCTTAACGTAACGCAGCTGTTGGCTCGTTGAAAACTACTCATTAGGTGCGATAATCAATGATTCTGGTCACGTTTAAGGTCTTTGCAACAGCGAACACCCATCTAAGCGCGCGGGCGCACTCGGCCGGCCGTCACTACCGCCGGCCACGCTGGTGCAAGAAAGCATTGAGCGTCGTGCTATGTTCCGCTCGCTGGCAGTGTAACGAAGGCTACGGGCACGAGATCAGCTGCGAGACGTTTTTTTTTCACAGGACGAGCGCCCGGGCTGTGACAGCCGAAGCGGAGCACACCAGCACACTACCGCACGCGACGCAAGCGCTAGGGCCACGGCAGCCACGCCCACAATAATAACGTCACGTGACACAAAGACAATAAAAAGGTATTTATATGCATTAATACTATTTTTGTAACTCATAACTTTTGTCAGGCTGCGTTTAAAAAGTTGTAAATAAACAAATGTTCTGACAAAAATGTTTAGTCACGTGACTTTTTACTGTAAAGCTACATTAAAATCAAACGGGTTTATTTTTATTTGTATTTATTTTCAAAGGCACATTATATTCTGTATGTAGTAATGATTTATATTAGTTATTAATAATTAAAAGGGTGACGTCACTTCCGTTACGTCACTTCCGGCGTCGAAGGAGTGATTTCCACACAGATGTCACTCCTTCGACGGGCGTCGGAGGAACTCCAGAAAGTGGCGTGACAACGAGGTTGGGTAGTATCCGGCACAGTCACGAATCACACTACGAGAGCTTTGATTTTGAGGCTTCATCAGCGCACGCCTGCAAGTGTGTTTACATTGTTAAAATAAAGGCAATCACTGCGTTCTTACTTTCTCTGGTAGTCGCCGTTTCGTGCGCGAAAACGGATGCAACGGTTGCTGAGCCTTCACCAGAAGAGATAACAATATTGTAAATATGCATGTTTTTCGATTTGAGTCACTTGACGTCAGCTTTGCATGAAAGTGCGCGTTCCATATTCGCAACGTGCCGTTTTTAACCTTTAAAATTCCGGTTTCTGGTGTTCGGACACACACGGACGTTTAGGAAGATGGGGAGAGTTAGGAATGGTCGGATGTGCAACGTCGACCATGATAGTTCTGTGTTTAACGAATATTTTTCATCAGTGTTTACTAACGAGTGCTTGGACTCCGTCCCCATTCTCCCTGAAGAGCTTTACGAGCGCATGCGTCCTATTAACGTTAACTCCGCCGGTATTATAACATTGATTGATAAACTAAAACTTACTTCGTCCGCTGGAACCGATAACATCAACTCTAAAATTTAAAAGAAACACCAGTGTTATTTCGAGTGAGTATTTAAAACTTATCTTTATTCAGTCCTTATCTCAAAGGTGCCTTCCATCTGACCAAAAGGTGGGAAGGGTAATTCCCAGTCTTTAAACAGGGCAGCCGCTCTTCCGCATCTAATTATCGCCCTAATTCATTGACTTCAATTTCTTGCAAACTACTTGAGCATATCCTCTACTCCAATATCATGAGACACCTATCATCCCATTTCTTTTCTTTAAACAGCAGCACGGTTTTCAAAAAGGTACACTCTCCGGCAATATGAAAGACCCACTGGGAGCGCGTGGCCGAGGCGGTGGCTGGCGGGGGCGCTGCGAGCCCTCCGGGCAATTCCATTCTGCTTCGAGGGGAGGACGCTCACTCGGGCTCAGATAAAGCGAAACGCGCTTATCAGTTTGTGCCGAGTGCCGAATGAGCGTCCTCCCCTCGAAGCAGAATGGAACTGCCCGGAGCGCTCGCAGCGCCCCCACCAGCCACCGCCTCGGCCACGCGCTCCCAGTGGGTCTTTCATATCGCCGGAGACTGTACTTTCCTGCGAAACACAACTCTGCGACTTCATCCATGACTTGCACACTAACCTTGAACCTTGAAATGAAAAAACTGACGCAGTTTTTTTTTTTTTTTTTCCAAAGCGTTCAGCCGTGTTTTTTATCAACGCCTTCTTTCTAAGCTATCATCTTTTTGCCTCGACCAAATAACCGTTTGCATAGATTCGTGACTTTCTTTTTTCCCGTGTACAGGTCACGTCCATGATGATCATGAATCTTCCTTAATAAATGTATCTCCTGGTGTTCCCCTGGGGTTCGTACTTGGGCCCTTACTCTTTTTAATATTTATTAATGACATCCCCATTGGGATTTCTTCAAAAAACCGCTTTTTCGCCGACGACTGCGTCATCCATAACAAAGTAACTTGTGTGCAAAATAACCAGCTTCAGGAAGATCTAGAGAAAATTAACAATTGGTGCAAAGAGTGGATTATGTCATTAAACAAGTATAAACGCAAACTAATCCACTTCACCAAGAAAAAAAACAAACACTGTCATTTAATTACTTCTTGTTCTCCGATCTGATTGAGACCGCTACTGTGTATAAATACCTTGGTGTAAGACTAACATCTGACCTTCCCTAAAATAACCACATTGAAGTCATTACTGCCGATTCATCTGGAACTCTTGGACTAAGCAGACGTAACTTAAAAAGGGCTCCACCCTTTGTTCGTAAGCTAACCTTGGACACGTACGTCAGACCAAAAATAGAATATGCTTCAACCATCTGGAATACCCATCGACTGTACCTCATCAATACTCTGTAGAGGCAGTTCAGAACAGAGCTGCTCGCTTCATTTCATCCACTTATGACTTTTTTTTTCAGTGTCTCAGCGCTAAAAACTGAACTAACCATGTCCTCTTTGCAGCTTCGCAGAAAAGTCTCTCGGCTGTGCTTTATTCACAAAATCTACTACCACATTCCCGACCTCAAAACCACTTTGTTATTACCCCCCGACCGAACATCTTCTCGCCTCAACAACGTCTGCACCATCAAGCACATTTCTGACTCTACTAACGCTTTCAATTGGTCATTCCTTTCTCAAGCCATCAGCCACTGGAACAGTCCCCCATCCTCCATTGTCACCATCTTGGACCCTGCTGATTTCTCCTCTGCAGTAAAACTACACCTTTCTTGGCCCATGTGATGGTGTGCGGGGCTAGGCAGATAGGTGAAAACCCTTACGCAGAGCGCCTGCCGGGCCAGACTTGTACGTAGTTCAACTACTTTACTCAAGTTACTGTAGTTTAACTACTTTTCTGGGTAGTTTAGTAACTTTTAATTACATTTATATTCTAGTAATTGGTAGTTTACTTTAACTACTTTTCCGAGTGACTTCCACTCAAGTTACAAATTACTTTCTAATTTTAGTGGTTGTTTTGCCTATCAACACAGAAAAGATGTCGGAAGGTCAGCTGATATTTGCAGAGGGGAAGCATGCGGAGTAGAAAAGGGGGGGATGGGAAGGAAGAAAGTGATTTAGATAGTCCAAAAAACCCCAAAGTTTTAACGAGCCCCCCCACTGCAACAACACTGCTACGAGGCGCGGGGAGCGAACAGACACGACGCAAGAGAGGTCGAGTAACTGTGGGATTAGCTCCGAATAGTGGCGTTTCTTTGTATTCCGAAGCTCAAGGAGACTTGACGCATTTGAAAAAAGGGCTTGTCCCCGCTTCTCTCCAATGTAGGAATTCTTGCCCACTACAGGAGGTGCACACACTGCTCCTTTTACGGTGCAGGCGATAGAACCCCTAACAACGACGCTCACGCCGGATGGGCTGCTCGTGTATCACTCGAAGCGCGTTAACCCACCCCCGCGCCTGCGTTCACGCCGCTTCGCGGTGACGGTGTGCGGCTGCTAATTACAAATCCATTAACCCACCTAGCCCCCCACCCCCCGTACACGCCGCTTTGCGGCGTCCGGTCGGCAACCCAAGCCCCGCCGCCCCCCATGCACTTCCGTAAATAGAGTCGATACGATTTAGTTTAGCGATGTTTCGTCAACAACATTCGTTTTTTTAGTGTTAATGGTAAAAAAGAAATGTAAATATCGCCAAATGCCTCGACAAAACAAAATGTTCGAGAGAAAAAGAAAAAGAAGTAAGCCGGCCCACACCATAAATAGAACCCGGGTCTGACACGTATGAGGCAGACATCTCACCACTAAGTTACGCTACCTCTTCGGAAACTCGCATTGCATCCGCTGCCTATGTTGACGGCGGCAGCGCCTATCTCCAAGCAAGCAAGCAAAACTATTTTGTGTAAGGGCCTACGTCCTGGTCTGGACGGCCCGTCCGGCCCATGTCTCGCGGATGGATTCCGTTAGGTTACCGTGTAGCCTTGTTCGTGGGGCAAGGCTCCACAAACCAGCCAATCCGGCGTGCGTGAGCCTGCGTTGCTAGGGTTTGTATCGCCTGCGCGTTAAAAATATGCCCGCGCGGGTCGCGGGGGGCAGTGCCCTTGGTATTCCTTGGGCTAGCCGGCCTGTGTCTGCTCTGCCCAGTGGCGGCCGTTTTAGGGGGGGCAAAACGCATGCCTTGCCCCCCCACTCTGAGAACTGGGGGGGCAAGTGCCCCCCTTGCCCCCCCGGTTGGTACGCCCATGCACTTGGCACTCATTCCACGGAAATCGTGGTTCGAGGGAGTGCTGAAACCACTGAAACGGCGAATGCGATGCCTGGTGCCTGGGTTGAGGTTGAGAGCGTTGGTTGAGGTTGAGAGCGCCTCCCTGGCCTCCGCCGCCTCCTCTTCTTTTTTCCTCATACGCCCTGCCCTCTCCGCTCGAACGGAAAGGCCGGAGAAGCGTTCGAAGCGTTCGCACCGTTCGTTCGCTCGCGGCTCAAAACTACTGCTTTCAGGTTTCGCCTACAGGATCGCGACAATCTGATACATTTCCTTCTCAGCTTCTATGACGTCACTGCGCTCACTTTTCCTCCTCACTTTTGCTCAGCAACGCACGGGAGGAACACTTCACGCACCTAACGTCACAACGCGTTCTGGACACTACGGTTGCCAGTGGCAACGGCCAAGCTAGGAGCAAGCATGGCGGTTTTCTCGTGTCCTCAGTCCGCCCTTTCGAACGTGTCGTTCGGTCCAGACCGGTAGACTTCAAGCCACCTTCTCGGACACTCTTCTCAAGCATTCCCGAGGGACAAGCGCGCATCGATGATCGCTTTAGATGATCGGCAACGGGACCGCGAAAGACAGTCTGACCAGCGTCGATCATGCCATTGCTGGTGCCATCAGCGGATTCGTCACACGATTCATTTGCCAGCCCTTCGATGTGGTCAAGATTCGGTTCCAGGTAAAGACCTTTTCACCTTCCAGACCGGGTGCTCGCTTTCCATTGCAAGCTGCCGCAGTTCTGAGGTTTCTTTACATGGGCGTTTCCTCAGCTGCAGTTGGAACCGATCAAGTCGTCGCATCCAACGGCCAAGTACACGAGCATATTGCACGGCACGCTGTGCATCTTGCGCGAAGAAGGAATCACAGCGTTTTGGAAAGGACACGTGCCCGCTCAGATGTTGTCCGTCGTGTACGGAGGTGTTCAGGTTAGTGCCCTTTGCCGAGCGCGAAAAGAAAAGATACAAGAGTCGAAAGAGAAAGTCGAGACGGGTGCGTTCTCGCGCACTTCCGCGACCTAACCTTGAAACGCAAAATAAAAAAAAAATATTAATAAAAATAAAATTGCGTCTTCGGCGCAGGGTGTGTTTGTATGTGCGTGCCGCGCGCTGTACAACATGTGATTCGAAGGAAAAAGGATACTTTTTTTTTTATCTTGCTAATTGAGAAAGAAAGCAAAAACAAAATCGTCGATGTAAATGTAGCTCACGTGCGCACTTCACGATCGACGAACAATAGTGAAGGTTGGCAAGTGAACAAAACTTGGGTGCCTGTTTTGACCTTCACACGTCGTTTGTCTAGTTTGGCACTTCGAAAGCTTCTTTTGTTTTTGAGCTCGAGCTGGTTTTATTAATTTGCTTCCACGTGACTGCCTGTTAAAGAACTTTCTGTGGGTCAGGTGCACCGTGCATGTGACTGGCAGGAGTGATTAAATGTTGCGTGTGTTCCTGCTGCTCAATGCTCTTTTGATATGCTATAACAGCTGTTACTAATGCTGTAATATCGTTTGAAGGCTCCTTGGTAGGGCATTGGAACAACCTTCTCCCTATCAAAAGCGTGATGTCTCACAGAATTGGTGGGTTAGGCGATTTCACGAGGGTTGGAATTTGTAGCAGAATTTAACGTTTCTAGGCTAGGTGGTGCAAGCTACTCCCCAGTACAAAGGGTTTAGCCACTAGCATCCATCCATTCATCCACTTATGCTCATCTCTCTCAGTATTGAGTTACTTTGTTTGCCGTCTTTGAAGTTGCAGCAAATGCGCATTCATTTCTGCAGAGAACAACCTTCATTGCTACGAAGTGAGCTCGTGGGTAGCTCAGCAATTACATTGACCTAGTTGTCGTAGCTTATTATACTACCACTTCATCCCGCAAGTTGTTGATTCAACATTATAGCTTATGGTTAATCATTTTGGAAGCTTGTGAGTTTTTGCTCAACTTTATATAAAGGCTGGGAAACAGAGATAGCTTTCAATTGAAGCTTGAAGTTGCATGAGAAAGTCTTTTAATCGGCGTACAAGTTTGAAGATTCTAGACAGTGGGCAAATAGCAGAAGCTTAGCACAGGGAATGCAGCATGTGCGACCAATTTTTCGGTTCAATCTAGTCAATCGTTTCATTCCAAAAATTGCATTAAACCAGGTATCACATGTACAGCTGTTTTCACTCCCTGTTATTTATTTATGATATGCTAATAGAACAAGGTGACCCCAGGTATCAGTCATCATGAATCTAATCAGATCATGGTAATTGGGAGACATATATATATGACTGAAGGCTGCAATCCACCATTTTCAGAATTCCCAGTTTGAGAGTTTTTCAACATCAGGGTACGTGGGCATTGCATGAGCAAGCGCAAATATTCCTTTGTGCTACGGTGACCTAAATCGAGCTCCTGAGTCCTGAAATATCGCTCTTGTGCCGATTGGGGGTTATCTTTTGTCTCCAAGTTTGTACGAAATAGCTTCTCTCTCACCTGAGCTAATGGTGCCCTTTAATTCCTTAAGTCTCGTGCCTAGGAATCTTTGAAACAAGTATCCGATACCAGTTCTTCCCAAAGTGATGGATTGTCAAGTGCAAAAAAAAACTATATTTCAGGTGGTGACTGCTCATATGACCGTTCACTGTTGCTAACACGACTTTTCCCTCTCAATTTTGTCGAGCACAGAAATGAATACTTCTGTAGTAACTGTTGAGTGCTGCCAATGCGGCGACTCTTACTCTTTTCAGTTCTCGTCGTACGAATACCTGTTGAAGCGCTCCGATAGCACGCTGGGACGGGAGGCGGTGATACGATGGAGCAACACTGTCCATTTCGCATGTGGCTTCACCTCGGGGTGCGTGAGCACCGCAGTTGCGCACCCCTTTGATGTCATTCGGACCAGACTCGTGGCACAACTGGAACCCAAGGTGAACAAAGACCATGCGCTCATCTTCCGTTTCGTAATTTTTGTGCAAGGTCCTACGTTTCCAGGCTTTGTCAAAGCGGAGATGTCTGCATAATCAAAGGCTCTCACGAAAGCAAATCCTGGAGAACTTGGAATTGGCAGGGAATATAGTCAGCCTGTGAAAGCTAGGGAAATGTTGCAAAGTTTTGGGTAAAATCTGGTTAAAGCTGGAAGAAGTTTGGTGGGAAAAAAAAATTTTGACCCGATTGTATGTTTTTGATGTGTGCGCTCGGGCAACAATAAAGGCTATTCACACAAAAGTTTCGTACAGTGTCACAAAAAAAACAATAAAAAATGCGACACCCTGCAGTTGTTGTTGTCACAGGCACTTGAAAAGCGGGATGCTGTGCGGCGTCGCAAGCGTGGTATTGGAAAAGAAATTGCATATTGTCAAATCGCATAGTGTCTTTCAGAATACTGATACGAGATAGTGTGCAAACTTCTCGCTGTAGTGGTGCATTTAGCTCATTTTGCATAATTTACGGGCGATTCTTAGGTTGGGTTTCAGGTACGTTAGGTTGTGGTTATGCTTTAGCTTAAGTTATCTAGGTTCTGGCCATGTTTGGGTTAGTTAGGTCTAGGTTAGGTTCAGGTTGGGTTATGTTTACTTTTGGTTGGGATTGATTAAGGATAGTTAAGTTTAGGTTTGATTAGCTTGAGGCTGGGTTAGTGGCCCTCTTGCACTGACCAGAATTCCCCTTTACAGCAAAGACGTCGGACACCATTTTTAAAGGGATAAACTTCTCACGGCCGATAAGAGCTCTAGTGCAATGCTGACTCATTTCAAACATATCTGCGTCATGGCACGTGTTTGCCTCGCATTGCAGTCGGTAAGTCTTGTTCCCGCCTGACCGTCTGATTACGGGGCGCCTCTCCTTCTGCAGACGTACACGTCCATCTCCCAGGCGGTGCGCCTCATGTGGCGGCAGGAAGGGCCCCGGTCCTTTTACCGCGGCATGCTGCCCACCCTGCTCCAGATCGGCCCGCTGTCCGGCTTCCAGTTCGGCTTCTACCACTTTTTCACCCACCTGTGGACGGTCCTGCTTGAGGATGACGCCAACGTCACCGGTACGCGTGTCCTGCTTCAGCGGTAGGACAGTGTCCTACTGGTTTCATACAGAACATGTTTAGAGAGAAGAGCTTTCGCAAACAAAGAAAAAAGAAAAAGTCAACCAAAAAAGTGTAATGCAAGATGAATTGGTGAACAAATCATAATTACACACAAATTCAGGATTTTCCGCTAAATTTAGCGGGAAAGCGTGAGACGTTGAACCATGCTTCTACGCTTGACGTCTCCCAATTGGAGATGGCCGCCACTGTTGTAATAATAGGTCTACCCACTATCCTTCTATCGGAGCCAATCAGAGCTCGGCGCTTTGGCGTCACCAGAACCCTCTGCAAAAGAAGCAGACAAACTTGCACTCTGCATAGACATTTGCGAGGATGGCCACCGTAGCGCCACCGTCATGCTGCTATGTGCGGAGAGCCTAGATTGTAGAGAGGGTCCAACTCTAAACATGGGGAGCATTTGCAATTTAAAGGCGGACGCCTCCCGCGGAGATCGGTCACAAGTGCGCATGCGCTGCGTTTTCGCATGTCGAGGAGGAAAGCGGGCGGAAAGGCGGTGACACTTGCAGACGACAAACGCTTTCGTCACCTCCTCGTAGCTCGTATTGCAAATGCGGCCCACAAATCACGTGACCGCCGTCGAGCGGTTGAACACTCTCTGCAATACAGGCTCTCTAGGTGTGTGTACTTTGCATGACGATCAAGCTCCGCTGAGGCATGCCCACGGTTGCCGGTTCGGTGCCCTAACAAAGCGTTTCTCGCCCACGACGGCCAGACTAGCCGTTGAAGTGGGGCTGCTTGCAAACCTCTACACGCAATCTGCAAAATCCTTTTCCAAAACATTCTTTTTTCTCGCGTACAATGAAGAATAACGAGGCCGCTCGTTCCTTGTGCAGGCATCCGCAAGAGTGTGGCGTGCGGAGCGTTGTCCGGGATCGTCTCCAAGACGCTCGTCTACCCGCTCGACTTGATCAAGAAACGGCTTCAGGCGAGTGCCTCGTTTTCACGTCCACATGGCGGCATAGTCTTCAAATTTACCGTAACATTTTTTAAAAATATTTTTTGGGGGAAATTGAATATATTTAGGGTTTCATATATTTTTGGGGCTTACTATGTCGAAGAAAATGGGACACTGGATTCCCCAAGTCCCAGGGAACATGCGTGGGACCTTAATACTTTACTGAGAGATGAAAGGAACATGGTAAAGGGTATGGTTCTCTAATAAAAAAGCAGTCTCTCCAACATTTCTTTTCGGGGCCATGTTCCAGGCGAACAAAAAACGAAGCTGAAGATGGGCATTTCTTCCCAAGAATTCGACGAAAGCTCCGATTCGGGGTTTTTTGCTTTTCCCCGATTTTGTAACACCGGCTCAGGGGCCACTTTTCGGGGCATCTCGGTACATACCGAAAACGCAGAAGCCTGTTGAGTTCACTTTCTCTTTTTATCTTGACCCATTAATTGTTCTTAAATTTTGGGAATTCTCTATCCTTCATTGCTCACTCTTTGTCTTCGACGTTAAATTTGTTGACTTCAACAAATAAAATAGAAGCACAATAAAAATAAAACAAAGAAAAGTCAGTGCTGCCCTTTGTTGGCAGAGCCGCAAACGAAGCCATGAGCAAGCCTGGGTTGTCCAAAACAGTAACGACGGGGTTGATACCACTTTTTAATAAGTTTTCTTAAAATGGATTGCAGATTTATACATGCGGACAGAGCCTGTGCTTAAGTTGATTCGAGTTTTGTTATGTTCTTCCGTTAAAAGTCCTTGCATCACTGGTAAACTATACCTTGGGCAGGGCTTTCTCAGTATTTACTGAAGAATTAAAAAAAATTGCTCTGTGCTTGAGACTTTTATCAGTCTCGATTGCTATCACTCCTAGGTGTCACCATCCTTCTGGAAATGTCGATTGGATAGACTCAATTTTTAAAAAAAATCTGCCACAGAAATACACGCAGATACATGTACTACGCGGAGCACTCAAGACTTAACCGTCTCGAGTGCCACCACACCTAGATGGTGCCACTGGGTGCAGGGAACAGTCTATATAATGAACACATACCAATTTGTTTTATATTTCCAATCGTCCTTAAAAGTTTTTCAAACATACCGTAATATCCCGACTCATCGCCCACTCTACTTTTTGGGCGAATATCGATTTCCCATAAAAACTCAAAGTGATCGCCTATCCCTACAAATACCACAATGCGAACTCCGCGGTCCGCGAATATTCATTCTACCCGAATGATGCGGCCGCAGACCTTCCAGTTGGAGGAGTGACTAAGTAAAACGACGGAGGTTAAGGCACTTCTCTTTGTTTACGCATTTCCTCCCCGATTTCTGCGACCCCGAAGTCGGAGTGCATGCGTGCTCCGAAGCTTTGTGCATGCATGGGTGCTCCAACTTCGGAGCACGCATGCTTTGTTTTGCTTACGAAAAAAGTTTGTTCGGACAAAGAAAACAATGTCGGAAAAATGACTCAAGCAGTAACCCATTCGGGGACTGTGAGGTCAGCGAAGGCCGCGTATTCTGGAAGGTAACCGCGGAGTTTTAAGGTCAAAGTCTGTCTCCACCGCAGTTGGGGCACCTTTGTTTGATTCAACGGAACGGCATGTAGTAGGAGTACAGCGGTCTAGCGGAACCCTCGATTTGTAAAGCTGCCACACCGCTCATGTTAAGCTCGCTTTCCGTCAGCGTTGTTGCATCAAGCTTTCCCGCTGTGCACTGATGGACGCATGTAGGGCTTCACTACCTTGCACCAGCTTCTTGGAGAAGCAGCCGACACAAAAGAGCAGCGCGGTTAGCTCAGCGGGCTCGGACGTTTGCTGGGTTGGGCGCTTGATATTTCCTTTGCCTACATCTTGATTGTTTCAAAAGTGGGTGGTGGACGCTTATTGGGACGTCCGCGTGTACTCGGTATTTTACGGGTGTTTAGAAAACAAAACCAACACACGGAAAATGATCACTCCTATGTGGATGCACAGTGCAGTCTCAGTGATAGCTGCAACACCTTATTGAACTCTATTAATGTATTCCTGCGCATCTTACGCCACAGTCGGCATTTTGCGTGGAGGAGTCGTCACCACCGTCTGCTGGGAGAGCGACGCTCGTTTAATATACACGCAGAAGCCCTCTAACGAATGTGGCGTGCAACTTGGCCGGGGTGACGCGACGTCACCGCTGCTGCGGCCACTCAGCGTTCACTGCGCGAGATTCTCATGTGCAGCTGTCCTCAACACGTGCGGTTAATGGGGTATTCACACTAAAGAGAAATCCGCCACTTCGCCCCGCGGAGTGAGCGTCACGTGATGCCGACATCCACAGGAAGGGTCGTGACCCACGAAACGAAACGACGTGCAGGTGCAAGGCTTCAGAGCAGAAGGGCTGAACTTCGGCCGCTACAACGGCTTTCTGCACTGCGTGCGTTGCATCTTTGTGCAAGAGGGCTTCCTGGGCTACTTCAAGGGCTACTTGCCCAGCGTCCTCAAGGCCATGGCCACCACCTCGAGCTACTTTGCGTCGTATGAGGCCGCCTGCGAGATGCTGAAGTACCGCCACTCCTAACTTGCCGCCGCAAGACAGGGTATCTTCACCAGTATAGGGTCTGACGGATAAAAGGGAACCTCCTTTTTCAGCCTGCAAGCATGAATTATGCATCACAGGAAGCTGAAACTCCCGGGTGAATGTGATACTTGCGTCAATGATATAATGCGAAAGTTCAAGAATGGGACATTAAAAATATTGAGAGATAAAATTGAAAAAAAACATTTACTTACGAGCATGGTCCACCTTGGCTTAATATTCGTCAGATAAAGAAATAGCTTTGCAGCATTTTTGTAGTTCAGTGAAACACACTTGCCAGTGAGACGGAAAACTGAAACAAATGCCACAGGCACCCACTGTGCAATTTTTTTATATTTATTGAACATAAGTCCTAGGTGGATGTCTGTTCATAAAGTCAAATTTGTTTTGTGGTTTTTTTTATCTTTTGATCCAGCTAATCTCCTCTTTTCATATTTTCGCATTCTATCGCCGCTGCTGGTGTTATGCACATGGGGTTTCAACTTTCTATGATGCATAGTCTACGTATACAAGCAGAAAAAAACGGTTTCATTGTATTTGTTGGATCCTGTAATTCCATATAAGTATAATAAGTATAATTCAGCAGAGCTGTATAAAGTTGCTAGTTCATGTGTCAAGGTTGTTGTTTCAAGGCAGGCTGTGCGGAGATGGTGGTCTGATCTTGGTAATATTTTGTTAGCGAGGGTTTGTACAATAAAATGTTGAATGCAAAAATTCTTTTTGCATGGCAAGGTGTGAAGAAACATGTTTAAAAGACACACGGGTGGCATTATATATATTATATATCTTTTTGTTGGAAGGGGCAAAGCTTTGGCAGCCAAACACAAAAACCTGTATTCAAGCAACTAAATTAGTTATCAAACTGGCTCATACAACAAAGAATTATTTTTTCACTTATGAATTTTGGAAAGCTTGGTGCATGGAATCTTAGCCTGAAAAATTGTATGAGTTAAGGACACCTCTGTGGCAATTTACAACTCAGTACATCAATCTGCCGAGTTGCATGATCATTGTTTATGCAGAAAGTTTTTGTCATGGACACCATGTAGCAAGTTTTTATGGAGACTTGCATCCGACTACAATCTGACCGGCGTATTTTCATGTACTGCGTCATGTTGATTGGAACATGTTGATTGCATGCCATTTGTTGCAAGTGATGTTTCGACATTGACACCTAAATTTGCCAAAGGTTACCTGAATTTACCAAAGGTTGCATGTGCAATGCAACATAAACACCAGGTGATGCAGACTAGCACAACACTTGGAGATTGCAAATAGATTCTGATGTTACATAGGAAATGTTGAGCATCTATTTAGATTGTTGCTTTACAAAGTTGTATGTTCAGTTCTGTGAAGCAGAAAGGCTGTCTCTGGTGTTCTCTTTCAGAAGAGACTGTGGTTGAATGATCGGTGCAATGAGACAAGTTTGCAAAGCTTGTTTGTACCAAATATTGGCCATTTCATGGTACTTTGTGAGCTATGGTGTTGAGCTGTCACATTCATTGCACGTAATGGTTTGCCTTAGGCAATATTTCATGCTTCCAAATAGTGAATGTTGTTTGTGCCTTTGCCAAGTATGAGGCAGACTTAAGTTTCAATGTTGCATGAGTTTATGTGCCATCTTTCATAAGAATTTGCATTTACAGCCCAAAAACGAGTGACACTATAGAGCAGGGGTGGCCAGGCTGACCAGGCCTAAGAGCCGCAAACGAGACCACGAAACTTCTAAAAGCCACGGGGGGGGGGGGGGGCAAGTTGGTGTCCCCTTACGAGGAATCCACGAGCCGCACTTGGACCAGCAAAGAGCCGCATGCGGCTCGCGAGCCGCGGTTTGGCCACCCCTGCTATAGAGCAATAAGGCAATCTTGTTGAGTTTACTGGTTGTGATAGAATAATTTGCGAGTGCTCACATACCGTTTTTTAACAAATTACTTTAATTTAATTGACATTGAAGGCGGAGCTCGTTTTTCCAGTATGACAAAAGCTCCTATGAGCCTGTAAATGCCTTTAGAGATAAAAAAAAAGTTTCTGTAACTTAGGTAGCTGTGTAAAAGGATGTAACCATCAGCATGCCATAATAGTTGTTCAGTAACTTTGGTTGTCACATGCAGTCTTTGAAATATTTAAGTCACATTCACAGACACTCACACAACCACGGAGTCGGCTGCCTTACTACGACTCTCTCGCACACATTCATTGAATTGGACCCAAATGCTGATTGAATTACAAAGAGGTGAGAATGTTGTATACATAGCTTGCATGTGACGTCATTCGTGACCATGCCAATATCTTATGCGCCCCAAGCGTAGAGTTCGCCGTGTTGTTTCACGCCATAGAAGTTGTTAGAAGAAACCAGTAAGTAGAACTAACTGCCAGTACCCAGCAATGGCGACACCTGCAAGCTATGTATACTTAGTGCTACATTTTTTGTTTGCATGGTTTATACTCTGCACGTGTGCAAATGGTGAGGACAATTTTCTCCGACATTAGGTGCCGCACATTGTGCAACGGTGGGTGTGTGTGACGCTCAGCATTTGCATTTCTTTGGGTGCACTTTGTTTTTGGCATTTTGTCAGGTAGCGTTGGAGGAATGTGAATCTGCACATATAGTGTGCGGTAGGTGCGCAGAATGTCTATATGCTTCTACTTCTTCAGGTGTGGTGGTGAAGTGACAGTTAGGCTGGTGAGACTCTAGGCTTGGCCAAGAAGTTTGTTCTGCAACCTTTGAAGAAGAATTTCTGGGTTTTTGCACCGCCCGAGACTTGCATACCATGGTTACAAAAGACGTACAGTCAAATATCGTTAATTCAAACTCAAGAGGGGGGGGGGGGGGGGGGGGGGGGCCAAAAATTTGTTTGAATAAAGCAAAGTTTGAATTATTGGGGGTTTCCTCCCATAGAGACGCATAGGATGGGACCTGCATGTTAGTTTGAATTATCCGAAAGTTTGAATTAAGAGAATTAATGAGAGTTTGAATTAATGAGAGTTGACTGTAGTGTCAACTATAGTCACAAAGTGAATGTTTTCTTTTTGTTTAGTAAACACAGGCAAGCTCCGTCAGGAAGTTGTAGCTCTTGGCCCACTCGGATAGAGTGCCACATATGCAACATGTACAGTGCTGTTTCCTAGTCGCTCTCATCTGTAAGTAGCTTTCAGTACATAAATATGTAAAACGTGCCGAAACGTTAAAAAAAAAAACATTAGCGCAAGTTGGACTCCTGGCTTGCAGCACCGTCACTTTGCAGGTTGTACTACGCAGCAGTGTTTTCCCAGGAAGCTTTATATCTGTTTTTAGCTTCAATGCTCTGCTTAGAATAAACAAAAAATTCATAAGCATGCAATTTCATACTTACCTACACGTCACTACATGTAGAGTCACACATGGCACAAAAACTACATGGTTTAGCTGATAACACATATACACTAAACTTACAACTCTTGAGAAAAGCAAACTGCAAAACTGTGGAACTTTTCTTTATACGAGGATGACGCTGCAAAGTCAGCAATGTTTTTTTTTAAATCTTTAGTTACTATACGACTGGGCGTCAACTATTTTGTGCTACCTTGGCAAGGCTAGCGTAGCTTTCGCAGCGTGCGAACGCTATCGAAGCTACTTGCACAAGAGCGTGGCTTCACTTGGTATCTCCTTCACACGAGAACTCGTGTGAATGAGATGCAAGAGGAAGCAGCCACACGCTCTTGCAGCAGTGTGCAGCAGCAGCACTGGAAGCTACACCAGCTTCGACGACGTAGCAGAAAACAGTCGACGCCAGCATCCTTCAATTTGTGCTGCATGGAAAGAAAAGGAAAAAAGAAAAGGGCCACAGGTGGTGCATCCTGTACGGGCCCGATTTGTGCGGAGATTCTTGCCCGCAAGTATGAGTGAAAGTAGCGTGAAATAAATTATTTTTTTTATTAACTGTACAGGCGTCTTCGAATAGATTCACGGGCAAAACTACGCGGACCACCCAAGGAAGGGCCGTCTAAAGGACAAATGTCTTCCAAGATTTCTTCGAGGCAGTAGCTTCCTCGTGTCGTTCAACCACATCGCCGAGATATCAATGTAAAACACTTTCGAAATAATAAGAATAATTCCCACTACCATAGTCACCGATACACTAGGTACTTTACGGATCATCTTTCCGTCGTCCAGTTTTTGGAACGCAGGTTCATTGCCAAATTGCCGGCCAACGAATGAAGTCAACTGACTTCTGCTTCCGACATCAGTGACTATGGTTGCTGAAGCAAACAGAAGCGACTGTACAAGGCCATCGCGTCATAACTTCAAGGAAATTCTTAAGTTCCGGAAATTGCAAGAAGTGCCAAAACTAAAAATGTAGAACATGGCAATCGGTGTCAGGTCTCTGCACATCCACACCAAACGAACCACACCCCACCGATATTTCCTTAGAATCTTTTCTGACCGTCCTTGAATGCTTACGGAATAAAGAACTCTAGTTATAACAACTTGTGCAAAAGAGAGCTGCCCGTGCAAAAGAAACCATATCAGACGCAGTGAGGCAATCTCGTACTGGAAGGGGGCAACAAGGCTGCACCCTACGCATAGGGCCGTTTGCAGTCTTGCGACGCGTTCCGTGCTCTTGACTGGACAGCTGCATACGGCTCAAAGTGAAACGGAGCATAATTACATGGTGAAAGCCTGTTTAGTTGTACTCTGGCATTATATAGCAACACACCACGTGTTGCCCAAGTGAAGCAAAAGTCTAGAACGAAGAGAACAAAAGTCGGACATCCACAGTATTCGAACGGAGCGTCCACCATTAGCCGGGGCTTTACAACGTTGTGAACAAATGTGTTCTACCTTCGATTCTAGAAAAAAGCTCTAGAAAAGAAAGATTGAGCATGATCTGCACGCAACTCGCCGCAAGCGACACCACCAACCGGCAGTGTGCTTTGGCGATAGTGGTGCACGAAACACAACTCGCACAATACTATTGCAGTAGAAGGTAAAGGGAGTGTACACCGCGCATTCGCTAAATTAATTCCGCAAGTCATTATGGTTGTGTGGTGTGCAACACCCCGACGAATTTGTCAGAAGACATCGTGATAAGATGGCACTAAGGCATTCACAAACGAGGCAGAGCGGGCTTCCAGTTCAAGTGCAAACTGAAAAAGTCTATTTTTGCTTAACTGTACGACGGTAATTCTACGATCGTACAAATCTGTGGCATATTTGTTGTAAGACAGCATTGCTGCCGTAAAATCTACGGTACAATTTTTGTTGCCGTGACGATAATGAACCCTGTAATCTTTAGGTCGTTTCAAAGATATTTCGGAACAGGCCTCCAGGCTGCATTTTAAATGGAACAACTGTTTTTCAATCGCTGAAAACATGTGATCCCTCGTTTCGTGTCTTTTGTGCCAAGTGTTTTGCTTTTCTGTCGGAAACCTACAACAGTGCCAAGGGAAGGCAAACTTCGATGCTACACGTCGCCTTTTTGGGCATACCACCTAGAAATCAAAAATAAAGAGCATAAAGGGACACAGTCTTGCAGAGAAAACTGCATGCTTGTGGTCTGCGCATCATCTACGAGCGTCCAAGAGTGCTTTACATGTTTCTACACTATATCTTAGCGGCATGAGGGTTTCTGTACAGCTTAGAAAAGAAAGAAAAAAAGAGCATCTCCAAAGGGGGACTCCGGTAAAGTTGAACTCGAAAGGTTAGGCCACGAGAGAAAATCTTCCTAGTTTCTTCGATCACGCGTGTGGTCGTTGCGGTACACGAGGTGTAAAATCCCGCCTCGAGAAGTGGAGGAAAATAATTCGAAGATCGAGGCCAGGCCTGTCCTCTTCTCAACGTTATGCTAGAACCGACGTAAGCAGATTTCTCGATTCAAAGGGCAAAACTTGCGTATAGTATTATGCTACTGCTAAATATGGCTAGACCCCTCAGTCGACTATGTGCGTGAGAGAGATTCGAGCGCGTGGCGAAGAATTGTACACGGTCGAAGGTTAAAGACCTACGGCAAACAATCTTCAACGGTGCACGCCGCGATGCGTTGAAGTTTGTGGGCTATTTGTGCTGTCGTGAAAGTTCTAGTCTGAAAGATTGTGTTCTAACCGAACTAACGGTCGAAAGAGCGCCCAAAAAGTGCCTACACCATACCCCATTCTCTACAAGTTCGTCTGATACGCATCTGCGTACCAACGCGAATGGCATACAACCCCGCACGCTTATCACAGCTCAGGCGTTCGCTGCTTATTCGTTAGGTTTTTGTCGGCGACTCGCAGTACTGAAACGCACGTGGTACTTTCGAAAAAGTTTGGGCAGTCTTAAGCCCAGGCGCTCATTTCCCTCCCGAGTAACTGTCCGCTCATGGTGGTAAATTGTACAATCGATAATAGTCCTTGCAATATTGGCCTATCTCTTAACCACAGCTCACAAGACTGACAAAGTAAACTGTGACACAACAATTAAAACCACGCACCGCAATGTTATTCTTGTGAAGCAACAAACTAAGAGAACTGGGGTCTCGTACATTTCGTGCCGGCTGGAAGTTTTAAGAGTTCAAAAACTTGATTAGTTTTAAGAGTTTTAGTTTTAAGAGTTTAAAAACTTAATTGCTAACGATTTATTTAGTTATTATTGAATTGACACTGATCATTACTCAAAAACAGTGTAAGTTAAATGTGAGTCTGAATGAATTGTTACGGAGACATGAATTACAGGAATGACATTACAATCATAAAGATATGTTTTTACCTTTTTATGGCCACAGCAACTGGCTGTGTGTTGTAGCTTGTATCGACAAACTTCAGGATTAATTATGATCATCTACAAAACACCGACACTACTTCTAAACATCAAACTGGCACTGTTTTAGGTATGAAGAAAATTTAACCAAAAAACACAACATAACCACTATGTGACCAAAGCGTAATGTAAAACAAATGTTTGTTTATTCAAGGAAGAAAAAAATATCTTTTTGATTTTTTTGCTGTGTCTGTTTTCTCGGGCTGCTCCCCCCCCCCCCCCCCCCCACATTACAACTGCTCTTCCTACAAACTTGTCGAGAGAATATTCACAATAAAAACCAAATCTTTATAACCCAGACACAACTGTGATAACACACAAAAAAGAAACTTGCAAAAAACACACCAGAGGTAAAACCAAAGATTGCCTGTGCAATCGAGTGCATTCTTCATGCATGTGTAAAATCATAAAACTTCACCAGTATCAAAACTAATCTGTCAACTGACAGACTTCAAAAACAAGAATGCATGCCATTACACGTGCTAAAAAAGGGACAGGTGACCACTAACAAAAAATGCAACTATCATGGTGCTCTTGTCAGTATTCTTGTCACAGTAAACTTGGATGACATGGCGAACGAAAGGAACAGTCTAAAAACAAAGAAAAAAAAAACTGCAACAGACTACTCAACTAAGAGACTTCCTTAGGTTATATCACAGTCGGTCGGAGAAAATACACACTTGCAGCAAAACATGCAATTGAAAATAAACAACACTACCACACAGAACAAAAAGGAAGAGGGCAGTGAAATACGATCGGAAATAAAACTTACAAAAACATGACAAAACACTTGAGTAGGCAAAAAGAAAAACAATGAACAAGCGTAGGGATAATGAGGGAAACAAACTGCAGACAGCAAGCAAACATCTAAGGAAAGTTGAGACAAAATAGGGATTTGGGGACAAGGACTCGGACGAGCCAAGGGAAAGATATAAAACTCCAGGAAATTGACAAGGACATTATGAACAAACAAAACGACCTAGGGACAAACAAAATATAAGGACTTCCAAGGCAACACATTCTAGGGAAATTCGGGACATACACAAAGAACCTAGGGATGGGCAGAGAAAAAAACCTAGGGAATCAGGTGACATGGGCTCAACCACACATATATAGAAATCATGGCAACTAAAAGGTTAACAAAAACTTTTCGACAAAAAAAAAAAAAAAGTCGAACCATACACTGAAAAATTAAGACTAGCCAAAACGTTTGCAGAACAAAAAAGAAAAAAAAAAACAGAAAAAAGACTAGAAGCTAGAATTACAAAAATGGGACCAAACAAGGATCTTTTTTCTCTCTAAATGAATGTAATGCTTGTCCACTGCCTAGTTCCACGAGTTCAGATGCTGGCTATTACCTAAGGCTGGAACACGGCTTGCAGCTAGTCAATGCGAACTTGCTATCACAAGCAAAACAAAGCGTCGCGTCAAGTCATCAAAGGAGCGTCATCACGGGCTCCCAATACGTTCCACGATTGTCCGTTAGGAAACGCAAAGTTCTTGACTTCAGATCTCCTCCTTGTTTGGAAGGCGTTCACCGATATCTGACTGGAGACACTCCAGACCACTTATTCTCTCATCTATTCACGCTTTCGGCAGTGCGCACTAGTGAATCCGACGCTAATCCACATTATGTGGATTAGTGGATCCGACGGTAGTTCAGTGTGGATCAGTGAATCCCGACGCTACTCCACAAAGTGGACAAGTGAACCCGACGCTAATCCAGACTCTGTGAACCAGAGAATCAGATGCTAGCCCACTGTGTGAAGTAATAAATCCGATGCTAATCCCCCCCTGTGTGGATTAGTGAATCCAATGTTAATCCACACTGTGTGAATTAGTGAACCCTGCGTTTGTATTGTCATTGTCTTTTGGGTATGCTTGCATATCCGAATTCTCTGTAATGTTTTGGAGTTAAAAGAACATGCCATCCAATTTCCTACTTCTATTTTAAGAACGTTCTGGTGTTTAAACTGGCAATTTTGATACCCGCTGCTGCAAATTGCCGAATCACTGCCGCACTTGCGAGCTGATCAGTTTTGATTGGACTGGCCTGCTGCGAGCAAGGACGGAGCATACCGCTTCTGGGATTTGGGTGCCGACGAAGACTTGCAACTTTCGAGAGACCCATACAGAGCCCAGGCTACAGCAGCGACTTGCATTTTCATGCTCAAGTAGCGGACCACATATAATGTGCGCACATGGAGACAAGGCGAATCTTTGGGACGAATGGAGAATGCAACCTGCTCGTGAATATCGATCAATTATGAGGACATTCACGCTGCTCAACACTACTGGAAGGGCACCGGATAATTTGGATGTCGACAATATTGAAACATTTTGGTGGGGTTTACGCTAATTGTGATACTGCAAAATAAAACAAAAAAAGGTGGCAAAACTTGAAAATGGATTTCAACATGCCTGCTGCTCTTCACAAAGCATTGGTCTAGTGAAAATCTCGCTCAAACCAGCATTGCACCAAAACCGCACACCTTCCCGTACCTTACATGCAGTTTCAACATTCTACACACAAGCCAGAGTTCTTATCCATGGTGACATCTTAGTCTGCATCACAAACGCAATGCTATTTTGACGAACAAACTCTTGAAAACAAATGACTCGTACCGATTGAAAAACCAACTGCTTTGTCATCCACACGGAGGTAAAAACCTCGTGGTTTTCATCAACAGGCAGCAAAGAAAAGGTCACGCGAAGCAGCACAATACAACTTCCATAGAATTGTAATTTTTCAAAGCTGGGTTCGTATCACTGAATTGCACCAAAGATTTAAAGTCTGTCGAGCACTCAATGGCGGCCATTTCAATAAACCAATCGACAATGCAAATACAAAAAGGATGATGTCAAGCAGTTTGTTAGCTCGCGACGGTTCTGCAAACACGGCGCGAGTCTCGTTCAATCTCCGAATAGGGCCAACACAGAGCTCGATGCCGTATTCAACGTAGTTGCCGGGACGGCATAGTCCAACACGAACCTCAACGTCGAACTTGCACTGTGCAGTCAGCAAGCTACACTCTAACTGTCTACTTTCCCGTGAAGTGCTCCGAAGACCCATGCTGCAATCTACGAAGGGAATCTAACAAATGTTGAGGCTGAAAATATGTCCACACCTATAAAGAAGTTACGCCGCGACACCGATTACGACGCAAGTGTGTGAAACGTCGTGCCTAGCGTCACAATGCGGACCGTTTCAAATGCAGAATGTTTTGTAGCCGGCACCTAATCGTATCCAGTTAGGTGCCAGCAACGGAAGTCGGTGAGACGACTGCCAATCGATCGCTGAAGCGGTGCCAGCCGAACCTCTTCCTCGGGTGCCTGCGTTACTCCTGGCAGGGGCCAACCATTACGTGTTCAGACATAAAGCGGTGCTCTGCTCTGTGAAACGAGCGCACTCCGAACTTCCCCAGACTCCGGCTTTTTGCCGCGACGGGTTGAGCTAGTTCCGAGCGTCTGGTCCTCTTTTGCCGCGATCTGGTGACAGGGCCCTGCTTGGGGCTGCTGCATTCCGATTGTTCCGTTTTTCTGCACGCTCTGCATACTGCGCCTCCAACAGGCTCCTAGGAACTCGCATTTACACCGCAACTGTGGAAGATGGCACCCACAAGTAAGACATCCGGCGAGCGCTCTTACCGTGCGTGGCGCAGGTCCGCTTTGCGCCGTCCAGTCTCCACAAGCGTACGCAGTTTCTCCGCACTAATACATCACATTCTGTGTTACGACTGCCTTTGCCACATTAGTACAGCAAAAAGGTGACACGCATTTTCAGCTTCGTGATTGGCCGAGCTTCCTCCGTATATCGCAGCGATTGGCCCCCCAAGTGCTTTGCGGGAAAGTAGACGCGCCGGAATTCTTAAGACAACACACGTTCCCAAGCGGTCGCACCTCTGACCTGTGGACCCTGACACGGGCGAGCACTGTTACGATTCAATCCCGTCCCCGACTCGGTGCCGTAAGCGGGAAAGACAAGGTCTCGTGGACTGCGGCTTTGCACTGTTGGCGCAGTATTGCATAACACCGCCCAAGAGGCGAACTGAACTTCCGGGCGCGCGCAGACGATGCTGCCGAACTGGAAGAATCGGCGTCTTGTCGCGGACGAAACTCCCGAAACACCCCGTCGACTCCAACGAGTGGAAAAAGGAGAGAGCCAAGTGCTCATGCTTGAGCTATTTACGCCCGCCGACGGGCAAGGCGGCGTGGCACGGGTGACAATTCGAAGGGAAATCGGGTTCATCGGGTGTTACGACACCCAAAGGACGGTGGGCGAGTGTCAAAAGTCCGCCGCCCAAAAAGAAATAACATTCCAGAAAGCGATTACACTCACGGCGAACCGAATCGAAAATAGAACCGGCGGCACACAGGCTCCGGTGCTTGCGGCAGAACATGGCTCGAGCCGCAAACCCAGGTTTACGTTCCGCCACAAACGTGGCCGAGACCCGACCTCACGCAATCAAACCCCGTCCCACGGGTTCGGCCCCACATCACCGCGGTTCGAGTCCACGTTAAGCAACGAGCTCGACGTCGTTCCATAGTACTAACGATCGTGCCGAGCCTCCGACTAAACACCCAAACTCTATTTACCTAAGAGGAAGGAAAAAGCGGTGAAGCACGCACGGTGCACGGTGCGCACAACGTGCGCCTCGGAAAGCGAAATTTTAAAGAGTCAAAGCTGGTAGGAACAGATCACACGCAGGATCCGTTGGCGACGAGCGCCACTGTCTCGTGCCTCTCGTCGTCCGCCACAGCGTTGGCGCCGTTCTGCGACAGCAGGACGACTTTGGTGCCCGGGTTGCTTCGTTTGGCGGCTGCGGTGTTGGCGGGCGAGGAAGTGGAGGCGCTTTCGTCGTCGGTCAGGGTGGAGGGGTTCCGGCAGTGCAGACTGCTCGCCACTGGCAGCATCAGGACGCCGGACGCCAGGATGCAGAGGCCGCTGAAGTAGAAGGTGGCGTCGTAGGCACCCGTGGTGTCGCACAGCCACCCTAGCCCGTGATGAAAACAAAGACAAAAAGACGTCCGTTAATCCACGGAACTACTATGTAATGTAGTTCTCACACCAATATGCAAGATTTTACACCCATGGCACGCGGGGCTGCTCACTCCTTTGCTACGCAGCTTTGGTCCACTCGTGCCAAGTGACTTCACACACAAGTAATGCTGTTCTCAGACCCATGTCGTGCGAGTTCTCACCAAAAGAACGAGTTTTCACAGCCCGTGTGACTTCACACGCCAAGTAACGTGGGTTCTCATATCCAAGTCATGCGAGTTGTCAGACCCATGTCATGCAAGCTTCCTCGCTCTCCTCCACCTTTAATTCACTCGTGTCACAAGTGTTTGCATCCATGTAATGCGAGTTCTCACTCTCGTATCACCTGGACTCACACTCACATCAAGTTGCATTCCACACGCTTCGCATTAATTCCAACCTAGCAACGAGCAGGCTGACTGGCGCTCACCCGCGATGGGAGGTCCCATGAGCCCCGCCAGCCCCTGGATGAGCAGCAGCAGGCCGTAGGCACCCGTGAAGTTGTCCAGGGAGATGAGCTCGACCAAGATGATCGGCACCAGGGTGTAATTGGCCGAGATGGCGAAGCCGTACACCGCACTCAGCATGGCCATGGCCGCGTAGCCGCTCACCAGGGGAAGCACCCCAACCGCCGCACCGCTCACCACCGTCAGGAAGCTGTACAGCAGCGAAGGCTCCATCCAGGTCTTGTCTCCCAGGTAGCCCACAATCACCTGCAACAAGCAGACCCACATGCTGATCATTGATTGACCGCTTCAATTTTAATAGCACGAGGCTGCGAAGGCTCATACCATTAAGCTTTCCCCTACAACGTGGGAATGTTAAGGTCCATTCGTGCACTCACATTTTCTTGCGATTGTGTGCCTTAAAACCTCTTGATCTCTTATGACGAGAGAAGACGCTGGCGCCACTTGTGAGGTGACACTGGAACTGCATTTCACTAAAGCGAAGGTTTTGCGGCAATTTCCGAGACCAAACGTACATACTATATATGAGAAGGGTCCATATCACATGAGCGAATGACATTTCAGTGAACAGCGGTCATTTGAGTGAATCAATGTTTTAGCGGATGACAGGGGCGCGTGTTAACCCACCTCCCCTGCTGCGCATACATGCCGCCTTGCGGCGGCAGTCTGCGCCCGCTCATTATAAAAACGTTGATCGACCTGGTCCGCTTTGTGGCGGCCGATTATTCGCTAAAGTGTCTTTCGGCGAAAATTTGGCATTCGCTAAAATGTCGTTTGACCAACTGAGTGCCAACCCCATCAGAAATCATCATTTATATTGTTAAAAGTTTTCCAAGCCAAAAAACAAAACAAATGATGTGCAAAAAAATAGGAAATATACGGCAAGTGAAAGTGTTCCTTGGCATCCCAATAGATGGCGCCAGTGTTTTCTCTCGTTGTAAGAGGTTTTAAGGCACATGGTCATGAGAAGTCGCAAGTGTGTGAACCAGCTTTTGGACATGACCGTTGAATGACATATGTGCGACCGGCAAATCGGCTCACGAGCCCGACTAAGAGCACAGGACGAGTGATTGACCAATCCCTCTAACATAATTAGATAAAAACCACATTAAGCGACCTGCGTCGTTCCTACTCCCCATAGCTATGTTGTCTGCCAGCTACAATACGCCCTCCCCACCGCCGTCGCACCACCGCTGGCAGAGAGGACGGTCTCACCACTCCGAGGGTGTTGAGGATGCCGATGAAGGAGATGAGGAAGGAAGCCCGCTCCTTGTCCACGCCCAGGGTGATGGCGCTGTCCGGGATGTACACGTAGGGGTTGTCCACGCACGAGTTGAGGAGGAAGTTGGACACGCACAGCAGCGTGTAGCGCCCGTTGCGGAACAACGTCACATCCATCGAGTCCAGCACCACCTCCCGCAGGTCCCGCAGCAGCTGGCACATCTGCGCAAGGCAGTTTGCAATTGGCGTCTCTAACACCTTGTCGGGGGTTTTATATTGGACCGGGCGAGAGTGTTCTCGGCTGCCGATTCGACGGGGCACCACGGCTTCCGTGTAATCGACCGAAGAAACATTTTAGGCTCGTCTGCGAGTTTGCAATTGGGCAATATTTAGGGGAAAATGTCTCACCATCGTACAAATAGCAAGAGAGATCTCGCGGCCTTCGACATGCTTGCCCTTAGTTCTCCTCCGTCTGCCGGTCAATTGGCAAGAGACGCGCGAGCTGTCAATGGCTTCCAAAGTGAAATAACAGACAATCACAATTTCAGCACCTGCACGATCTCACTTGGTTGTAGCGCTTGATTCGTAGCAGACAGTCAACTTATTTTTCTGGTCTGTTAGCAGATGACGTACGTCGCCTTTTCTCGTTTTATTTCCGCCTGCGAATGGCACTTTGCAGCAGACGCCATCTTCGCTCGATTTCCGGAAGGCAATTAGATCCCACTCTTGCGATGACCAAAATCAAACCCCTGGAGAACCTAAGAGAAACTGTTTTCTATTTTCCTTGTTTTAGAGCATTTTGGTAAGACAGACACCGAACTTGAGTGAATAATTGGATTACCTGCTTCTCGTTTCCACCTTGCAACGTCACGCTTTTTGAACTAGTATTGGCAGTTAATGCTCCGGTAATTAACCCCCAAGTGCCAATTTTTTTCTTCCAAAAGTAACCTAAAAGTGCCATATTTTTTTTTTTTATTTTGAATTATTTCCCTAGTATTACACATAAAATTTAAAAAGTTCATTACGCAAAAATCAGCGGAGGCGAAAAAAATATTTGCCAACTAAAATGAGTGCTGCCATCTATGATCAGTGCCACAAAACCACTTGGACGAGCCTAGCTCGTCCGTGGAATTGAGGGCTACCGAAAAAAACCACTGGACGAGCTGAGCTTGTCCACGGCATTTTTAGTCAGAAAGTGGCCGACGAGCTCAGCTCGTCCAAGGCATTTAAGGGGTTAAAGTGGCAATTGTTCGGAAAATGCTCCAGGGAACCTTAATACATTAGAGGAACACAAAACAAGCCAGTGGCTGCCTGCGGGTTCAATCACATGATAGCATCCGAGTGAATGAAACTTACGTTGAGATATGACTGCGGATTACCAAAATATCTGTGTTTTACATTAGCGTGGCAACCAATCCAAGGAGTGGCTTGGTGTGCAGCATACAAAGCACAGATGCCCTGGTAATTCAATGCTGCAACCAAATGCTAGTGTCTGATGAGCTTCTAACCTCCAGGTGCTAAGTCGGATGGCATGTAAAACCAAACAACAAGCAGAACAGAAAACACGTGCCTAAAGCAAATGGTAGTACAATACGCCGCTGGCAACCATTTGACCCGCAGAAAACCAACTGCCAGCTCAAACAAGCAGACAACACAAGCACGAAGCCGGCGGTTTGCACAACAACCAGATGACCGACGTGCGTCTGAACCAGACCGCAAGCATGCCACTCACCCTGTCCTCTCCGCTGATGGTCAACATGCTGTTTCGGTAGATGTCTGGGCAGCTGGACGCCCGCAGCCGATACCGCCGGATGTTCAGCATGGCGCCCCGATAGGTCAGGCTGCCCCGCTGAAGCCGCATGTTCCGCAGGCACGCAGAGTCTGCCCTCTGTTGCAGACGGCGCTCGCTCCAGCCGAGCCCGCCGCCGCCGTCCGTCCTTGCGACGGCGACGTGAGGCGGCTGGGCAAAGTTTGGCGGCGTACTCTTGATCGTTGCGTACGGGTCAAGCACGATCGTGTTCCAGATGTTGGGGTATTGCTCCAGAAGAGCACTAAGGTGACCCCCCTCCTTGCTCGAGTTTTCCGAAAGCACGTCCAGCGGCGCGTGCTGGTCCGTGATGTACGTCGGGAGCTGGACCAGAGAGCTGTAGAGCCGCGGCTCGCAGCAAGGAGTTGCGACCTCCTTTGCTGCTTCCACCTCCACCTCTTCCGTGAACGGGTCGAAGTCCCGCATCAGCAGCCCAAAGATGACCATGTTGAGGAAGAAGCCCGCGAGGATGAGCAGCGTGCCCCTCCAGGCGAATGTCTCCAGGAGGTAGATGGTCAGCGGCGCGAAGACAAACGTGCCGATGCCCGTGCCGCACACCGCGAGCCCAGTGGCCAGCGACCGGCGCCGCTCGAAGTAGTATGCCACGATCACGATGGACGCCACGTAGCACAGGGCAAGCCCGAAGCCCGACACGCTGAACGTCAGGAAGAGGAACTCGAGCGAGGTGCTGAAGTAGGACGCCACGAAGCCCCCAGCCGCCATCAGCGCGCCCACGATGCAGACGCGCCGGCAGCCGTATCGGTCCGTCAGCGAAGACGCGATGGGGCCCGTCAGGAGGGGCATGCTGAGGAACAGCGAGCCGACCCAGGCCGTCTTGCCCTTTCCCTCGTCGAAGTACTCGATGAGGTCTACGAACAGCAGGCCGAAGGACATCGCCACGCCGTCTGCTATCATATTAATCATGAACGACGCGAACACCACGACCCAGCCCCAGCCGCCATCCGGCGGCGACGTCCTGCGCACTTTCACATCGCTCGAAGCCGAAGATGCCGAAGAAGTCACCGAACTCTGCTGGTCTAGGAGTCGCGGGGCTGACTCCGGGGACGCCGACTGGCGCCGATCGTCCTTGGCCATTGTCTGTTTTGCTGAACCGGCTGCCATTCCACACGCCGCTGAAGCTGTTGAAGGAGGAGGGGTTCGAGGCGTTGTTCGAGGTTCCTGCTGCTGAAGATCTCGGGCACGCATATACCGAGCTGCTGAAGCAGGGCAAGTTTTGCCATGGGGCACTTGAGGGCGTACAGTTTGTTGCTCAGGCGCAGCTGGTTCATGCCCCGGAGGGGGCGGCGCTGGGGGCTGTCTGCTGCGCTGACGATCCCATCAACTCTGCAACGACGGGAAGCATTCATGAGTTCCCATCAACTCCGCAAGCAACTGAACTGTAAAGGCACACACGCTGGCAACTGCTTACGACAGAGCTCTTGCGATCTTGTACGACGACACAATGTTATGAACGACCGTTTCTTATAGACAGTACTACATCTGACCTTGCAAAGACTGCAAAACCTTTGTTCTAGTGAAATGCAATTTCAATGCCACCTCATAGATGACTCCAGCATGCCAGTTGTCTTCAGAGGTCCCAAGAACTCAGTTGTAAGCAAATGCAAGTATGTGAACCAGCCCAAAGAGTACAAACTGGAGCAAATTAAAAATGTGTGGCGCAGAAAAGAGAAGAGAGACAAGTCGAAGAAATGTATGCACCAGGCACTGAAGCAACGAAAAGTTTCCCGCAATCTCCACGAGCCACAACGGGCGAAAGATCAAAAGTCACGTCGAGCATACAACAGTTGAAAAGCTGACAAGGGCTCTGAAACAGGGCGGGCGGTTCATAAACAAACGCCAGGCCTGTCTGCGGGGCCACAATGCTTAGCTGAAGAGATTGTCTTAAGAAAACATGTGCTGACTGGCAAAACATTATGTCTACATCCCACATACGTTAAAAAGTGAGGATACAGAACAAAATATTTCTAAGTGGAAATCCAAGCAAACACCTGTGCAGCAGTACAAAAAAACAAACAAGAAAACACACAGTTGGCAGCAATTATTTGCCAGTCTGGCTCGGAACCGGCAATGCACCTGCTGATTCTTCAAGTCGAGTAGCTTGAAACAAAATCCAAACAAAAGTGCATGTTCTGCCCCTCTACACACACCAGATTTCCTAATATTGCAAGAAATCGTTTTTCGCACCTACACTATTTCAGACTGGCCGCCTTCTGCGGCCACGAGAGTTTAACGAACAGCTGCTCTTGGAAACTCGAGCAAACAAAGCGTAGTTTGAACGAGTTTATTGACCTTAGTTCTTTGTGATTCAGGCTCCGCACTAATGCGTCTCTAGAAAGTCCCGGATTTATGTTCTCAACTTCTCAGTAGACGGCTTTTGTTTCCAAAGGTACAATATAAAGAAAACGTCAATGCGCAGTTTTTTTTTTTAACATGAAACATTTAAAGGCCATGTTTTTAGATGAAGTGAAGCCTCAAAAAGTGACTGCAAATTTCCTTGCTAAATTTTGCAAGGAAAACAACGTCACATGGCTTCATGGTGACCTAAACGCAAATTCAGTGTCCCTGCTAAATTCAGCGGAAAAATTGACGTCATGTGACATGGTCTTGTGGCCTATACGAAAATTCAGTTTCCACGCTAGATTTAACAGGAAAATAGACGCCACATGACCTCAACACCAATTAAGTTTCTTTGCTAAATTTAGGAGGAAAAATAATGTCACGAATTCGTCAGTTTCCCTGCTAGATTTAGTGGAAAAATTAATATCACATGATTTCAACACCAATTCAGTTTGCCTGCTATATTTAAGGTCTATTCACGCTATGCATCTTGTTGGCGAATCCTGTGTCGCAAAACTAGGTTTCAGGAAACAGATCCCCCGTGTGAATGCGTCCAAAAAAGTGGCGCGCCTCCGAAAAAAGTGGCGTGTGTTCCTCGCTTCTGGAGCAATTTTTCGCTGAAACCTCACCGACGCCTGTCAATCACCCGAAGGAGAAACGCGTACGCCGCCAATGGCCGCTCGACTTCGCTATGACGTCTGACTTTCGAGGAGGAGCGAGCTTTTGGAGGGGTCTGATTTTTGGCCGATTCCGTATGCGAGCCAAAGCCGAAAAAAGAAAAACAAACATGGCGAGCGACCAGCGGAGAATCGGTGCGTATGGGCGTCGAGTCTTGGTCCTACTCGGTTGCAGGCGTGTGAACGGCGCTTTAGCAGTACGGGTTGGTGGCGCGGTGCAGATTCATCCACAGTCGCGATGAGTGCAAGCACCGCATATAAACGTGATGGCTGGGGATAACTTTCTTTTAGCGATGCAAAAATGTCCGAAATGCTTCGAGATCATCCGCCTGTTTTTTGACGTTCGCAGTCTTTCCTGTTTTTGGCAGGACTAGAAAACCCAGTGAGCCAAATCTGACTAAGTTTATCGAGTGGCATTAATAAAACAGACTGTCTCTTCACACTGTGCATACTTCATATCATTTTATTAAAATACGACGACCAACCAATCCTTAAATCAGGGGCCCAACGTTTCGAAACCGGTTCGGCTTCTTCTTCAGGGGCGACTATGGAGGAAAGGAGCCGCAATCTTCTTTTTCCTCTATGACGGAGGCGAATGTGCACGATCCCATCTTTTTCCTATTTGATCGTTTTTTGAAGACAACTGGTGGTGTCCGTTCACATACACAGATGGCAGTGCGCCAAGAGACCTACCAATGTTTGTTGACGTGGTCTGAATGTGCCAAGATTCAAGGAAGAGCCTCCGGCGAGGATTAGTTTCAATGTCCAGGATACATGTGTTTAAAAAGTCAATGCGGTGGTCATTTTTTTCACTGTGTTCAGCAACCGCGCTGCGCTCTTGATCGAAGTTGCGCACATCAGCCTTGTGTTGACGAATCCGTTCATGATAGTTCTTTGTTTCCCCGATGTACGAAAACGGGCACTCCGTGCAGGGAATCTCGTACACCACACCTTGCGCTTTCTCTTTAGGGGGCCGATCTTTTGGTCGTGGCATAAAGCGTCCAAGGGTTGAAACTGGCTTGTGGGCCATCTGAATGCCCTCCTTTGCTAGCACCCATGCCAGCGCTTCACTTGTTCCCTTGATGTATGGGACGCTGATGCGCGTGGTTGGTCGGTTCGGTTTTGACGACGGGCAATATGGTGTATGAAGCTGCCCGTATATCCGTTCTTCTTGAGGTCGCAAATGATGGTTTCTTCTTCTTTTCGTCGGTCAGAATCAGTTGAGCAAAGGTTCTTTGCCCTTGATAGGAGTGTGTTAACCACCGACACTTTATGGCTCGTTGGGTGGTTGGAGTCAAAATGTAAGTATCTTCCGGTGTGCGTTGGTTTCCGGTAAACTGAGAACTGGAGATGGTCTTTCTGCCTTTGTACAAGCACATCGAGAAACGGTGAGGTGTAGTTTTTTTCCCGTTTTACGGTGAATTGGATGTTAGGCTCGATTGAATTGAGGTGTGTCAAAAAGTTGTCTACTTGAGACTTCTTCATGACGCAGAAGCAGTCGTCCACATATCTTAGAAACACCTTGGGGCTTTCAGCAAAGGACAGGAGAGCCTTTTGTTCTATGGCTTCCATGCACAGGTTTGCCGTGGCGACAGAGATGGAGGCCCCCATTGCGGTTCCACTGGTCTGCTTAATGTACTCCCCTTTGAAGCTGAAATAAGTGTTACTCAGGCAGAATTCGAGGAGGCGGCAAAGTTCGTCCACGTTGAGCTTGGTCCTGTTGCTCAAATCGCTGTCTTTCTCCAGGGAGTTTCTGGCAGCCATGACTGCTAAGGGGACCGGAACGCTTGTGAACAGGGATATCACGTCAAAAGATACCAGAATCTCCTCAGCGTTTATCTTTAAATGCGAAATCTTCTCCACGAAGTCGCTGGCATTGCGCACATATGTCAGGGTTTTCCCAACGAGGAGAGATAGTGTAATGAAGGTAGTTTGACAATGCTTTGAGCGGAGAGGTGGTGAAGTCCACGATGGGTCGGAGGGGAACGTCAGGTTTGTGTATTTTTGGAAGTCTGTAGAAACCGGGGGTAAAGCCATTCCGGCAAAGAAGGCGCAGGTGAAGGCTCCTGGAATCACTTTGATACCGAACGATTGATATTCCCGGTGCAGATGACAAGGTCTGGCAAAATTCTCGTGAGTCAATACGTCACAGGTTTCGCGCGTCAAGCTCTACGTGTGAACAGGCAGATTTCGCTGAACTGTGGCGCGTTGAAAAGATGCATCGTGTGAATAAGGCTTTAGCGTGGAAGATGATGCCACATGACTTAATGTCACAAGACCTATTCGCGACCCCAGCAAAACGGACGCCGCCAAGCGAGAAAACCGGGGACCAGCCGGTCCAGGTCGCTCCGCGCCCCTCCGCGTCTCCGGTGACTTTCGCGGAGAACTTGTCGGCGAGGTGGCGAACAATGTAATTTGACGAAGGTCCGAATATTTCTTAAGTTTGCCTGAGTGATCATTAGTGTGGTGAAGCCTCAGTAGATTGTTTTCTTCTATTACGTGTTTGAAAGCCCGTTGACTCCACAGCACACGGTCGCGTGCTTTCGATTTCTTGGATGGGGAGGAATCACGGAAAAACTTTTTTGATTTCTTGTCTGTCTCGAATATCATTCAAAGTGACGACTGCTTGGTAACTGATACTGGAGGGAACATCAGTGTTGCAGTCAAGTGAATGGGAAGGTTCGATAGCTGCTTTTCTTGAGTTTGGTTGTGTTCGGTTAGCTTCAAGTTTGAGCCACCCACGCCGGTCGGTGCGTTGGCTATTCATCTTGGCTGCTTTTCGCCGAAAAAGCCTCTGGACCACATTGAAGGAGTTGGGCTGATTTCGCAATTACTTGATTCAGGAAAACTTGCTCGCTGCAAATGATGAATGAGGAAAATTATCTGTTATCAAAAGGTAGGAGACAAGTCTCGCAACGTAAGATGCTATCACGGCATTTTGACCCTATCGCGCCTCCAATATTTATATTATGAGGACGTCGAAGCCAGCAGCAATATACGTCTACATTGGTCGAAGCAAAGTTCAATGCAGAGAGGTTCTGCGTAAATCTTCAATGAAGACTCTCTTCAGTTTGTCTCCGTGCTGCCGGCTATATAACCATTTGGCTAAGTTTAAGTAGTATGTCTCCGTCTGTCAAATATACTTTTATTCAGCAGCTCACCTAATAGCTAGTCAACTAAGCTCATATTTCAACCCGAAGGATATACTAATATCGCTTTAGTGGGACCATGTACGTAATATAATACATAACCCGCTCGTCAAAATGACTTCTCGATTGCTACTAAAACCTGAATTGAAATACGAGTATCAGCTGCTTAGTGGGGCGCCGGCGGGTTAACATGGTCCTTGGCTCAAGAAGCGGTTGCTTAATTTTCGTAATTTTCCTGCAGCCTGTGTTGTTGGCCGAGCAGACGACTGGAGCTGTTTCGTCAACGCGGATACGCACAAAAGCTCGATTTCGCGGACAGATAAGTCGCATGGTCGAGGTATGCGAGTTAGCTGAAAAGTTACTCTCTGTGGAACAATTCTATAGTCATTGCCGCTTTCCTTAGATGATCAAAACCGATTAGTATGTTACCGTCTCTCTGGAGCCCATAGTTTCGGTTTTGAACGAAATCTCCGAAACGAAAGTTTGACACGAAAAGAACAAAAAAACACCGGCAAAACAAAACTATGCTTTGCAAGTTTATCTGTACCGGCTACACTTGAACCGTCTCAGTTCAAATACCTATCAAATTGGACATTAAACAAAAGAAAATCTGTTAAATTGAACGCGCCACCCGTTCAGGCGGCCCGGCCGAGCCGCCGCGACCTGGACTCAACCGCCATGTTTGTTTGGTGGTGGCGCCCCCTATAGGTCGCTGGAGTCGCGAATACACGATTTCAGTTTCCCCGCTCAGAAAAATTGACGTCATGGGACATGACGCAAATCCAGTTTCCCCGCTAGATTGAGCGGGAAAATTAACTGCATGTGGCCTACACATACATTCAGTTTACCCGCTAGATTTAGCGGGAAAATTGACTCGTGAAAACAGGAGTTAGCACAAAACACTCTAAAACTCACTCTAACACTAACACCACCAAACACTTGCCTTAGCGCTAATGAGTTAGCACAACTAGTGCTAAAGCAAGATTGTTTCATGTAGCAACACAATTGCAGGGCAATTTGTGACACATCTTTTCATAATTATCTAGCCGGATCACGTACAGGGCTTCTAAACCGTTCACGCTTAGAAGCCTCAAATGAAAATACTGAAGGCGAAAAGTTGTCACCCCTCTCAATTGGCTTTTATTGTGACCTGTCCAGTTCCCATCGGTTTTATTCTTACCCGTACTTCTCTGAATTCAACCCTAAGAAGCATTAACAGACTGAACCAAAAGAAGCCGGCACTCCAATTGCCAGTATTGCCAGAGAAACCAACATGCAAAGCGACCATTTCATGCGCATCACACGCGCCGAGCATCTAATTTCAAAACAATAGATAGCATCAAAAAAGCAGAATACCGCACTAACAAAACATTCATAGTTCGGCAAGGACAAAACAAATACCAACACCTTCAACGGTGTGCGTGGTTTCGCGCTTAGCCGGGCACTTTCAAATGCTTGATCGCCACGGCAACGGCCGTCAAAAGGTTAAAAAAAATGTGACTTTCCAAGCTTAAAGGGGCCATGAAACAAGTTTTCAACTTCTTCCTTCTTAGCTTTCGTCTTGAACTCACAAATTGTCCAGCACTACCATAACAGTTCAAAAGGAGGGGGAGGAGGAACTCCCCTCTCGTTTGGACCCACGTTTCTGTACCCAAACGTCGCTACTCTCCCCTTGGAAGATTGGACCGTCGCTCAAAATTCAGACAAAAGTTGTTTTCCCCCAAGCTGACAGTGGTGTGGAAGCTACGTGCTCATGGTCCCTCGTGCAACCCTACGCACAGAGAGTGGGGTCATGATGAAAGGGAGGTGGCTGATTGGTCTGGCAGTTTCTCCGCTAAATTTAGCGGGGAAAGGGAATTGATGTTTGGGCCACAAGACGTGTATTTTCCTGCTAAATTTAGCGGGGAAGCTGGGGCGACTTATAGGTCACGTGCCGTCAATTTCCCCAGGGTGTATAGGTCAAGCAACGTCAATTTTTCCGCTAAATTTAGCGGGTAAACTGACTTTGTGCATTGGTCTCGCAATATCGATTTCCCCGCTAAATTTAGTGGGAAATGCACGGACAGACGGATGGACACTAGTCTGGGGACAGGGGTAGCATTAAAAAGCATTTCATGCTTTAAAAATACAAAGACATAGGTAACTCTTGACAGTCAGCCTTTAATGTTTTCTAACATTAACGTTACTCTAATGCCGTAAAATATGGCGCAAGAAACAGTAAAAATTTTGGGATAACCTTGACAAACTAGGGGATGGGTGCGCTTGTTAGGGCCGATGGCAGAAATGAGGGAGGTGCACATGGTAGGGTGGGCTTCACCGCTTTGCATCAGAGCAGGCGCATCAAGCTTCACCACTGCGCACCGGTGCGCGAGCGTCAAGCTTTACCGTTTTGCACCGGTGCATTAGGAGAAGAGGATGAGGTGCAAAAGCATCTTGTTAGCAAGGTGGGCTCAGAAACGGTAATGCTTGTAAATTGTTTCATGAAGAGCAGGTGGGTGGTTACTAAAAAGTACTAAGTGTTCTATAAGAATAGAACACTTCGTGCCAATGCCGCATCCTCGAGCAATGCACAAAATGGAGGAACGTACATAGAGTTCTTAGCCTTTCGGGTTTTATATTTTTAAATAATCAGGGGGGGGGATTGGGTGCTATTCTTCAGGCTCATAATCGGGAAAAAACCGGGTCTTTCTGAAGCCATTAGGAAATTGGGTTTTCGCGGGTCTTATTTATGAAAGGCAAGTACCTGGAATGTGTTATTTACACAAACAAAAGTCAACAAAGTATATGATACAGCAACGGTGCTCGATTTTGCAGTATATTTCCGCCTTCCGACTCATTCTGAAGCAAATATATGCAGAGGTAACCCTAATCGAAAAGACTTCTTACCATCAAACGAGTGACCGAGAAAGCAGTTCTGAAACAGATCCAGAATTGTTCTTTTCTTCCGTAAATTTAACTGATTTCAAGGCCGATATTCGGGGAGAAATCGGATTTAAAAAAAGACTGTTCAAGGTGCAAAAAATGGGTAATATCCCTAAATATACATGACCCAGAGCCTCTGACGACCTTGAAGTTCCCATGACAGAGAAAGCGAAACACCCGGCCGTGACCCAGTGCCCACAGCAACCTGACAAATCCAGCAACACAGAAAATGAAAGAATGTCTGTAACACAACACCTCTAAATAGAGATGCCGCAAACCTCTTTTGAACCCAAGTTTCGAAGGTCAAACAAAGAAATTCAAAAGGCCAGAAAATGTTTTTTCGACCTTCCTGAGATGAAAAATTGACCAAGTTTCAAACTGTCGAAATTTATTTTACTATACAGATTTGGTGAATTTGGAAACTGCAACCCTGCAAAGTTAAAAAGTTCAACAGACTTCAAAGCCCATCTAGAATTTGATGGTTGAAAATCAATCAAATGTTTGCTAGGCTTAACCTCCAAAATATGCTTTAATGAGAGCTGTTTTAATATTGTTAGGGTGACGCTGTCGGCAATAGAAACGACAGGACAGGACACTATGATAGAACCGACAAAGGACTTTTGAAGGCCGGGCCAGCCACTAGGTGGTCATGAGGGGTGTCGCGAACTTTTGTTGAACCGGATTTTTAGGTCGAACTTTCGGGGTTCGACCCAGTCGAACCGGTTCGACGAACCTTCAAACTTTTCACCAAATTCAACCGGTTCGACTTTGTGGACACTGTGGCCAGACCTTGATACAAGCATGTCTAGGTTTGGAGAATTTTTTTTATGCAGAGGGTTATTTTATTTTATGAACAGTTGCAATTAAAAGAAACCAATTCTAATCACTGAAGATGTTAATAAATTAATTTTTTTTGTACTGTATTAACTGGAATAACCAATCAGCGGTGCCCTTAATTCATCCCTTAGCCATTACCATCCAATCCGAAGCCAACTGGCCAGCCTGTCGCGCATGCGCACATGAGTCGAACCTCAATACAAGGTTCATCGAAATTTTCACGAGTAGTTCGAAAAAGTCGAACCTGGTCGAACTCGAACCTCTGCCAATTCGCGACACCCCTAGTGGTCATGCGCACCACTGCTGCGTTGTCTTCACCTTGCTAACAATACGCTTGAATAAGGCCTTACCCGTTTTGAACCTTTAGCAAGTGCAACAAATCACTAGCAAGTGCAGCAAATTACTGACCACCACTCTAGCACCAAACTGACAAGGATATGTGACAGAAAAAAATAGAAGTAATTAAACTAATTTCTTCAAAGACCGACTCCAAGTTCGAGGAGGCAAGCAGCGGCAATGGCTTTGCCAGCTTTCCCTGAAGCTAAGGTTTATTAACCCTATACGTAAGATTTGTTGAACATAGCTAATCTGTCAGCTTTAAGAGAATGAAAATGCTATTGGACATAAATTCGAGACTTAATTCATAGCTGGAGAAATCGAACCTCAGCAAGATACTTAGACTGAACCATTTGAACTTGGGACTTGAAAGAATTTTGAACATCAAAACTTTCTCATTCTTTGAGCCTAAACTTCACAAAAATTCAAAACCATCAAACACAAACTTTCAGGAATCCAGAGAGCTTCAAACTTTGTGAATTCAAATCTCGCCAGTGTTCGAAAGCTGCTAATATTGCAAGTTCAAACCTAAACGAAGTCTGGAAATTTGTAAGCCTTTCGAACTTGAACATCAGCGACTTTGCGGTGCCTCTATCTCTAACCATCTTTGAACTCCAGCAACACGAAACGTAAAAGAATGCCCATAACCCAGCGGCCATATTTATGCTTCACACGGCCCAGCAACTCACCTCAGCTGCGGCAAACGACCGGAAGACAATCCGTGCCCAAAGCTCGGCGCAGAACGCACTCCGGTTGGTGGAACCCGACCTCACGCGACAAGCGGCGGTGCCGACGACATAGCGCACGGGTCACCAAACGTCGCAGGAGCCCCTCAACACGTTTGGAACCCCGGGCCGCCCTCTCCCGCACAGAGCGATGGAAAGTGAGCGTGCACCGATCGCGGCGTCCCTCGCGATAACTTCCGATAGGCCGATTGCACAACCGAGCATCCCCAAGACGACGGGCCAGGCGCCGATAACAAAGTCTTTGCTGCTCCGATAACGAAATGGGCCCTGGGGGCCGCAAACCCTGCACGTCCGTCACTTTACGGTGCAATGTTACACCTTCGCACCGGCAAGAGGGGCCGAGCCCGCAAAGTTTTGTTTAGTCAAGAGTCGCCTGTTGTGTGGATAAGTCGCCACGTCTGCGCGTTTCAAGATATGAAACCTTCCCGTTTATGAAGCGTTTGAGCACTGGCGCTCGATTGAGCGCGAGCTGCCCATAGTCAGTGAGAGGATTAAAGCACGAGGCGTCTCCTTTTACGTGCATGTGCTCGCAGCATGCACTCATTGCCTTTCGTCGTGCTTTGGCTACGAGTGCAGACTCGAGGCACACAAGCGTCGGGACTCCACCAACAACAAGCTCCCGGTAAGTAGGAGACATTGTTTATATTTCAGAGTCGGGCAATTGCTAGCGGATATCATCCTACTGCATGTCTTGTCATCGGCTTAGCCACTGTGCTTCTCTCCTCCTGCAGTGGGTCAACGCTTGCTACGAAATGCGGACTGCAACGTGGAGAAAACAAAGAAGTCTTGCACGCCACAGCGCTTCGGAGATTGTCGGTTGCATTTTTATCTAGGACGCTCAAACGCCGATAACAAGAGTGCATGCAGTGCACTGAAGCCCCTTCGACGCCAGTCCTAGTATACTCTCTTTTTACGATCGTGGGCCCCCTCTGCCAAAGTATGCGCTACGACCAACCACAAAGATAAGCTTCTGCTAGAAAAAATGGGCCCTCAATTAACCAGAATACTGTCACCAATTTTAGCATGGAGTGCAAAACCCTTTTCCTCCTCCCCCTCCCAAAAAAAAAAATAAAAAGAAGAGAAAAATATCAACTTCAAAACGGCGGTGTTGATGGAACTTCAAAGGCTTTTCCCCAAATTCAGTGACATAAACCGACCTTTATTTCGAAGAGCTGAAGTTGACGGATCTAAAAGAACAACAACAAAAAGAATCAGAGTTTGTTACGAAATTGGTTATGAAAACGGCCAATCTTCTAGCCATACCTAAATCTTGAAGAAATAAGTGACAACCTTTGCGAAAGAGACAGAAAATAACAACCAATGTTATATCCTGCGGACCAAAAAAAGGAAGTAGCAGCAGCGCGATCAGCCGCCTTGTTTTCGTTTTTTATTCGGCGACTAGAATTGACTTGGTGAATGTAAAAACCTCGAAAAACAAGGCAGTCCAAAACTGCCCGGCCAACACGTGTTGACGCGCTGCTTCCAGATCGCGACGCGGCTCGTCAACCCCATTTGGCGATCACAACTAGTTACGAGAACAATCGACACGCGCACAACTTCGACCTACGCTTGGAACTCACTTGGACAACAAGACACACGCGCGACCGACTGAATAGATAGGCCCGGCACAACGCATTCACTTCTCGGCCTTCCGCACCTTTGGGTCAACGCCTTCCGTGGCCACGTGGCCACGCTTGTCTTATCTGTCGCAAACCGGGGTCTTACCGCTCGTCAACAGTACCTATGTTTGCCTACGTACTCGAGATCCTGCACAATCTGGTTTTGGTCTGTTGGATTAGCAACAAGCCAAGGTCAGCAACACCTCGAAACAAGCCGGGGCTGGTTAGTGTTGCATTTTGGTTAGTGTTGCAGCCACGTGAAACAGCCGCACCCTGTTACATTTTCTTGCAGTTGCTGCAATGTTTATGGATTCATTTAACAATACTGCCAACCGCCTGTTTGGCAGCCAAGGCAAGGGTCAATGCTGCTTCACAGGGGTACAGGCAAATTGTGTTCTATTATGCTATACAGGGTGTTTTCACATGACATCAATCCGCCATTTTATTGCTAGATTGAGTAAAAAATGTTTTTTGTTTATCGGAATAATAAAAAAAAGGAATGATGAAGCTTATAAGCTTTTGTGCTCCACCGATTTGAGAATGCCATGTGAATCTTTGAAATACTTGCCTTCAGCAAGCACCAGGCAGCTCATGAGAAAAAAATTCTCAGTGATGGCACCCTATACTGTAAATGACAACTTTTGCAACTCGAAGAATACCATGAAAGACAGATCCCGTGCAAATGTTACCCTATGGTAACAAATACATAGCACACCATTCCCAATTGTGGAATTCTGTGCCAGCAAAAATGTTCCCCAAACCAACACTTCCCGAAACGTCGAACCTGCAAACACGAAGTCGCTTACAGTATAACTAATCACTCAGCCTTTTTTTTTATCAATAATTACACCCCCAATTCAGGGTACAATAGACCCTTTCTGAAATTCAGTCTGGCCACTTTGATCACTATCATCATCATCTGAAAAATGGCATATGTGCCATACCAATGGCGTCTTTCTATTTACTGATGAAGGAACATGTTGAAGATGCGCCTAAGCTGAGGATTCGAGGCCTATACATTCTAGACGTTAGCACGTTGCGAAACCGGAATTGAATGCAAGCGCTGCGTAAGTGTTCATTTCTCTAATTCGAGCCCAGTGAACCTGTTAGTGGCTCAAAATCGACTTCGAAACCCCTTGACTTATAGATCTTTATCAAGGCGTCTGTCTGGGTTGGCACTTCGTTTTGAATGGTTGCATCGTTGTGGGAATCGACACTGGAAGAGATGATCCAGAAAAGCCTGTATAGCGAAAAGTTTATTCTCGTGTGCCGTTGACCTGCAAAAGTGACGGTGCCCGATAAAATACTGCAGGCTACGAGTTCATTGCCGCCATTCGTATGGCAAAGGTTAAACCGCCATTTCAGCCACCAGATGGCACTGAATTTCGGAAAGGGTCTATCACCTATTGGAAATTTTCTGCTGCAGGGCGCTGTTCTACGCACGTTTCGGGCACGCTTTCCAAAATATTATTCCTCCAACAGAGCCCAGAATTCCACAACTTTCCCGTAATGCCATTCACCTGCAGCTTTACGAGGACTGTACCTTCCAGAAGAAACAAACCCAAGAGTCACCCAAACAAGGAACTGAATGGAAAACTTCTGTTTACGTCGTGCCTAAAAGTGTGTGGGGAGGAGGGGCCTTCCCCCTTTCCCTCCACCCCTTCTTTTTTTAGCCTTCTGGATCACAGCCAGAATGTTCTCGCAACTTCCCTCGCAGTCCATACGTCAAATTCCAAAACAAACCTCCACCAAAGTCCTGTAACAATGGGAGAGTGGTGCCCGTGATTAAAGCGCACGCGGTGCGGCAATTAACTTTAGACGGGACCGACGACGCCCCGAGCCAAGTTCAAGGTTGGGGCCAGGCTCTATATATATATATAGAGAGAGAAAGACCTTGTCGCTGCCATGACGACGCTCACCGAAAAACAATGGTTACGACAGCTGGAAGCATTTGGCCCCTGTCATTGAAAACAGGTTAAGAGAATAAAAAAAAAGTATCCTTTCTCCACTTTTTAATAAGAAAAACCAAAAAACCAACAATGTACGTGGCTTCCAGAAGCCGCGTTCAAAGCACTCTCTGAAATTAAAGCTTCTCTTGCATATTTCTGCGATTTTATTTTTGATGGTGTGTCGTCCCTGACCCTGACCTGACACCCCCCACACTATTTTTGGGCTCACCCGAGATCAATGAAACGGGCCACTGTGGCAAAAGGGTCGTGAACAATAAACTTGATAATTATTAGCAAGCGATATTGCAATTGAGGTTACTTAATTTATGAAGACCTTGCAATTCGATTAGAGCAAGATCACAAAAATATTGTCAGTTAGTCCTATATCTCATGATAAGTTATAATGGCGCAAGTGTTCATAAGTCATGCTATATGCACAAGGCACGTTAGAGATAATGAATATAATCCCGGGGAAGCTGCTTGTGCCAATACAATTTCTTTCAATTAATTCTCTTTTAATGGCTCTGTTTAATCGCCCTTGAGTGTATGCATTAGTCCATTCTTTGCTCACCTACAGCAAATGCCAGCAGAGCACCCCTTGTGATATGCTCAGTCCTAGGCTTTTCGAGGTGTTAAAAAGCAAACAAATAAATACACAACTATTATAATTACTACTACATAATACAAAATAATACAACACTGAGCGAGTGTTAAAATACTTGAAACAGCACTAGTATGCACAATATTTGAAATAATGAAACAACAAAATGTACAAATGTACAAAGTACACAAGTGTTAATTCAAAAAAACAAAAGCAGTCAATTAATCTATGTTTGCGCTATTCCCAATAGTCATAAAAAACTCATTAACAAATATGAAACACACATTTTTTAATTTATAGTATTGCTCAAATTAGAGGTTTTCAATCAATGCAATAAGAAAACCACAGGAATTGCAGACTCATTGCACCGAGCTATTCAGCCAGCCACTGAATAGTCGGTCAGCACAACTCCGTTCCCTCGAGGAAAATTCAGCCGCGTTTCGCGAGGCGAGCCTGCACTGGAACCCTCGAAAATAGGGCAGGACTAGACATCCGTCCTGCGGTCCACACACTATTCATCCAGCCATCAACCAAAAACAATAGACAAACATCCACAACAAAAACAAAAAGAAACAAAAAGTGACTTACGTCATTTCTGCACACAAAAATTTCCCAAGCCTCCGGTTACAACTCTCATCCTGCCAGACAGAACGGAAAGCGTCCTCTCGTTTCCCCACCACACTCACATTTGTGCGAGGTTACCCTTGATTTACTGCCACTGCGGGATGCCATCAACAGTTACGCAGATTTCTTTTTGTTCCGTATGTCGCCAATTACGAGAGTGTAACTCGAATATAATAAGCTAGACAACGATGTTCTCAACCCAAGACTGAAGCAGGAGGATTTGGATTGGAAAATCCTTATAAAAATGTTTTACAGTGGAAGAGAGAGCAACAGGGGCAGACAGTGTGGTAAACTTCCACCAGCTCGCCTGCACACTGACTGTAATAAAGCTAGACAAATCTGCAAT